TCGTCACTGCTGTCTTCTTCTAAGTAATCTCGGAAAATATTTTGAAACTCAAATAAATGCATCTTCCCTAAATGAGCCTCATCATTTGAAACTTGTGGTTTTTTTTATATTTCTCAACATACCAGATTTGAAAAACCTGAAAAGTATACCTATACTTACATACCGATTTGGATTCCTTTTATTATAAAGGGTTGAGGCGCTTCGTATTTCCTATACAGATTCTCCATGAATGAGAATTATGTCAATCCTTTTTTTTAGTGTGTAAGTGAACTTAATTTGCAATTTATTGCTTTTTGCGTTATCACCGAACATCAGAACAAGTAAAACTGAATTACTGATATGATGACATAAGTGTTCACGGCCGGATTTATGATTAAAGAGACCAACATCCGAGCTGGTAGGCTGTGGTTGAATTGCACCTGAATTACCAAACATTTCGACTTCTACTGCGGACAGCATCATCAGCGTTGTGGGCGTTGGCTGCGAGGATGAACGTTATATCTCGAAGTGTCAACAATGACTGATTTCTATCTGATTTGCTGATTTCATATAAATATGTAAAATTTGGTGAACATTGGTATGTTGGATTAGATGAGATTGTCGGGGAGCTAGCCCATGGTTTGATTCACTGTGACCTTTTCAGATCTATTGTGATGCTCTTTGGTTAGAGCTCATTGTCTACCTTGATCTCTTTGATGAGACTCCATAGCCTTGACACTGACCTCTTCATATAGCCGGCAGCCTCTGGTTTCTCTTCCCCGCATCTTGGGTGTCTCAGCCTTGCTATCGCTCCGCATTCACAGAGCACATGCAGTGCGGTTTTTTCCTCTTCTTTACAGAACCTGCATTGGGTTTCTTCTGTCAGACCCATGTTGCTCATATGTTTCCTGAGTCGGCTATGCCCCGTTAGTAGACCCACCACTACCCTTACAATCTTACGGTTGTGGTTTAGCAGCCCGTGAATCTGGGCGATGATTTCTTTATGAACTCTTTCGCCTGCCTCATTCCTGGGAGCTTATTCCACCAATTTATCGATTCGGCTTGCATTTATGGATGTCTTTATACATGCTTTCGCTACTCCGCAGAAAGGTTCTGGGCCGATCATAGCCTTGGGTGCGCCTTCATGGGCCAGAATATCGGCCTCCTCATTGCCCTTGTGATCCTCATGTCCGGGTACCCAAGCTAGAGTGACCATATTTTGGGTACTTAGCTCCAACATTGGTAAAAAAAAGTTGGAATTGTATTGGTAATCTTTTTTCTTTCTTTTTTATACACATTGTAACATTGGTATGTTACAAAGAAATAAAAAAGGTTGCCAATACAATTCCAACTATAAAATTCCAAAATCTGTCATTTCATAATTTCAAATTAACTTCCATCGAAATTTCATAAAAAAAGTCTTTGAAATGGGTTTTTCGCTAAACAGCTATAGTCTCCATATAAACACTGCAGCGGGAGGTGTTAGAATACCCCTGCCGGTTGAGATGTCACTCGTAGAGGTACTAGTCCTCCTAAATAACGCATTATTTCAAGATGTGCGTATACGTGCCAAAAGGATATATGTCTCTGACCCCATTCAGTGTCACCAACGGAATCTTACAAATACTGCGCGTCTTTTCGTCGTATAAAGTCTTGTCACGGTAATATGGGGCTTTGCCTCGATGTGTCTCTCTTTTCTAGCCACCCATTAGACTCCTAATGGACCCAGAAATAACAAAGAATCAGACTCTGAGTCTATAGAGGATTAAAAAACCACAACTGTCTTTTCTGTAACATCGATTCAAGATAAAAAACTTCTCAGTTCTTCAACTCTCGATACTGTTAAATTTAAGAGGCTAGGTGGTGCAGCCAGGAAGTGCCTTATCGACTTCTCAAAAAAAGATATCTTTTGAATTCGCCTTATGCCAAATTATTGAGCAGCAAAAGCAAAATCTGTTAAAGGAGAGGAATCAAACGCCTCCTGAGCAGGTCAACAAACGCGTATGCTCAAACAATGATTCCACCCAACCAGAGGCGAAAAGTCCTACATGGCTGAATCCAATATATTGTCAGGTATATCTGATATACATATGCCCTCATGTGGAAAGGTTTCTGCGGTCATTGGGGTTAGAATCTTGAACATCCAACAACCTCAATATCGACCAATAAACTTTAGTTTCTTCAGTATGCCATTATGGCTGTCGTAGAGGCATAGTTGACTAGAAGTTACCTGGGAGGATCAGGAAAGCGTATCGTGTCTGGTAGGTGCAGTTAAAGTACCCTGCATCAATGAAAGGGCGCCTCCCTGAAATATGTTACAGGAGACCTATTTCCCAAACCACACATTTGTGTGACTTACCTATTAGACAAGGGTAGATTGAGGAAAATATATCATGATCTGTCTAACTTGAAGTGCATTATTCATCACATTATTTCAGTGTTTGATCGAGTTCCACTCTCACCAGCTGTCCTGAAACATCACTTACCAAATTAAAAAAAAAAACAAATTGTTAAGGAGTTGAGTTTATTTGGTCGAGTTTGCATAAGTTTATCACTCTCACGGGTTGTAGTTGAAGAGACACACTCACTTTGGACCTACCTATTGCATATGAACGACCCGTTAAAGTAGAAATGTGCGCGAGCTAAGGATTACCGAAGTCTTACACTGTAACGTAAGACAGTGACCATGTATCGTTCCAGAGTGAGAACAGATCCCGCATTCTCACTATTGGTTGATTTAATTAATAGAACGAACCATCGGACTAAACAACGGGCTATTATATTACTTGTTGATGTTTCGAAAAAAATGTTGCTTTTTCTAACCATTTCTACGAATTAGTGAATTAGTTTTGGTTCTAATTATAATCTGAAAACTGTTGATGTGTGTAGGCAAATTTAAATTATATTACTTCTTCCACTCTTGCACGGGATATTTTGGAAGCTACTCTTAAAATTATTATAGTAAGGCAAATCAATGAAAGTTCTTTGAGACGATCTACCACTTGGTCCCCTTTACATATATCTAAGGTTATATTTCTCGTTGAAGGAATGAATTGTGGAGATGAATTTATTCTTTGCAACTGTTCCCCTTTAGAGAAAAATTGGCATAATTTTCTGATTTTTCCTAAATCTCGCGAAAGAAAGATGTTGAGGATAGGAAGTTTTAAAATTGTCACCTTGTATTGTCGAATATGTTCCTTATAGATCATCGAAAACTGCTGGTTAGTTGAGTAACTTCTGGTACGGAACAGAAATAAAGTTTTCACGATAGCATCTAATACTGCTTTGGCTAAGTTTCTAACAAGTCTGTCATGACAGATTATGTTAATTATAACTTTTAGCATAGATATAATGAACACAGGTGGAATAACAACATCACACATTTCCACAACAGATGTAACTATTTCGGTTTTTCTGGTGAAGAGACAGGTTTTTAAGTAATGTTGAACTACAAAAATTTTGTTCTAAGGTCATCGCAAGGTTTTCGTTATGAAGGCTATTTTCATTTGCGAAGCTGTGTTTTAGACAGGACGTTATACTAACGCTAGTTGCACACACACCGATTTTGGACGGCCGACTTTGTACCGGTCGTCCAATAGTGAACCACATGTGGGAACGGGACCTGGCACACACGCCGACCGGTGATCGTCCCCGGTAAAATACCGGTGAGCAGCCGTCATCTGCCACTGTATCGCCGGCAGTACCGGGAAGTAGTGGCGTACATGACTAAATACACTTTTGCATACTTACCGGTTTTATACCGACCATTCCAGTCTCGAATGCTCGGTGAAATTGTAGTTACTACGCATTAACTTCGTTTTGGTAGTGTGTGGAAATTACGACAACAAAGCAATTGATTGTTTGACCGATAAAAATCCGGTGAGTGTGCAAGCACCCGCTACCAATAAAATATCGGCCGATTTTGGACGGCCGACTTTGTACCGGTCGTCCAAATTCCAATAGTGAACCACATGTGGGAACGGGACCTGGCTCACACGCCGAATTTGGACGACCGGTACAAAGTCGGCCGTCCAAAATCGGCCGATATTTTATTGGTGGTGGGTGCTTGCACACTCACCGGATTTTTATCGGTCAAACAATCAGTTGCTTTGTTGTCGTCATTAGCACGCACTACCAAATCGAAGTTAATGCGTAGTAACTACAATTTCACCCAGCATTCGAGACTGGAATGGTCGGTAAAAAACCGGTGAGTATGCAAGAGTGTATTTAGTCATGTACGCCACTACTTCCCGGTACTGCCGGTAATTTAGTGGCAGTGGACAGCTGCTCACCGGTATTTTACCGGCGACGATCACCGGTCGGCGTGTGTGTCAGGTCCCGTTCCCACATGTGGTTCACTATTGGAATTTGGACGACCGGTACAAAGTCGGCCGTCCAAAATCGGTGTGTGTGCAACTAGCGTAAGAGGGTTGTTTATATAACCGAGAAACTGACGATGCAAAAAAACCTTATTTGGAACTTGAAAGAGCTGGATTGAACTCGATACAATCCTAGTGGCAAGTTAGGAGGCACGGTTGATTGTTTTGGATATATTTGAAGTTAGAGAAACGTCGGCTCTTAACTCAATACTGAAGTATTTATTCTATGAAGTTATGAATTATTCATATTTTGGAAAAAAATCATCGAATATCATGAATATTAAACACAGAGTATGAGGAGGCAAATGTTACAGAACACGTTTATGAAATCTATAATTGATGTTGGGATGCAGCTTATAAGACATGGTCATAGAGCATTCATTGTAGTGGAATCTGCGAATCTTCTGTTGAAAAATCAAACTTTCTCTAAACGTTTTTGAAGAAATCGGACGTATGTTCTGAAGTTGATTCAATTTTGAATTTTATATTTTTGGGTATAAAACACCTATTACTATCTTTCAATATCATACATTACGATTCGTGATATCAATGGAGTTAATTTTAATATTTAAAAATGTATTCGACTTGTCACCCAAGAATAACACTCGTGACTTCCTCAAGTAAGCCCTTCTTATCTTGCAGCCAAGGATATGAAATATTTGGAACCATCCTGTCATTTGTTGCGACTAGAAGTGGGCTCCTGAGATGGACAAATTTGACTAACACCAAATCTAATGAACCGTAAGTTTTTTCATTTCTCATTTATACTTACTTCCAGTATTTCGCAAAAATGTACAAAGTAGCTTTTGAATTTACTATTTTTGAAGAACTTCAGTAAATCAAAGTCAATACCAGTGATGCCTTATTTTAACGTGCATTACACTTACAAAATTATGCCCAAACCATATTTTCGCCAAACTCTAACTTTAAATAAATCAAATGGTAACATGATTTACTCTACTTTCCTGCTAAAACATGCAATAGATTTATACAACTGTTTTTTATTGATTTGTGTTAAATTGAGACGTTCTACTTTCGAAATTGATAAAATTTACATTGCTCATTTAATCAGAAACAATAATATTTCAAAACTAACTTCACATATTTCGTAGTCAATTATTTATAGGATGTATTGAAAACTATTCATTATAATAGCTACTGGACTCCACTGGACATATTTCCGTGTATCCTTCTCAAAGTTCTGGTCTGCCAGTTCAGATTACATCTCCCAGAACCATAGGGGGCTGTGAGGAAACTGGGGGTCATTACTATTCAATATAAGATAATTAAATCCAGAGGACACTACCGCACACATATTTCGATACAGAATATTGTTACTTCTTTAGATTCTTTCTTATTAGTCAATGGGCTATGCTTGAAGACTGGCAGTAAACAAATCTAAAGCAAATGGAACTTCAAACGTTCAAGTGCCCGTTCCATAATTGAAGGTCGACTCTTTCAGTTGTATTGCCAATTGCATATGCAGGACATTTTCTGTGAAGATTCCTGCACTGACGCCTGTCTGATATAATTCAACGCCCTTCGTGGTATTAGCCAGGGGAGTATTTGTTTTCTGTGTAGGTATATAGAGACTGGCTTGAACGTTTGAAGTTCCATTTGCTTTAGATTTCTTTAGATTCTTCAATTCGCAGCATATTCAACTGATTAATGACTCGAATCAATAGCTCAAAAATTCAACTTGAAAACACTAGGACTATAATAATACTGCAAATTATTTCACTGCTTCACGCTGATGCCTCTGAGGCTAAACTAACATCAGCTCCCCTTAATAGGTAGATAGGTCTCGAACGTTCTTCATCTCCATCATTTCTCGGATAATCTACGCAATGTTCTTCTTCAGAATCATTGATCTTTGTTTCCAGTGTATTCTGCATTTTCGAAATTGGACAGCAAACAGCAACACTGCCCTCTGTTCAAGTTACTTCTCTGTTGTAGTTTTCCATATGTATATGGATTTCTATGGCTTCCCGTACAAGCCGACGGTGGTATCCATGATCGGGGCAAGTAGTTTCAATCTTCAAAAAATATCGTGTGATCTCCTTCACTGAGCGTGTATTCCGTCGATTTTTTTATTTGACCCAATGTACAGTTTCTCCAATGTTCATTCAGCCTTGTACCCACGGATCTTTTGGTGGTACCGATATAAACTATTCCGCATGCAACATCATAAGATCCATGGGTACAAGGCTGTATGAACTGTAGATTAGGTCAAAAAGACAAATCGGCAGTAGTGGAACACGCGCTTAGTGAAGGAGATGACACGATACTGTTTGAAAAAGTGAAACTACTTGCGCCCGATCATGGATACCACAGTTGGCTTGTACGGGAAGCCATAGAAATCCGTAAACATACGGAAAACTACAACAGAAAAGAAGAGGAGAGGAGGCGGTAACGCTTAACCTTACTGAAAGATGTTAAAGTGGCAACAGTGCAATGCAATGTTACGTCATTAACAGGTAATAACACTTTGGCCAATAGCAACGCATCAACTAGAGAGGCGGACTACTTGAGTCAACATAAATACAACCTACGAACTAGAAATCACCAGTCATTGGTTAATCATCAAGATGAATAAACCTCTGAAGAAGCCAGTCACTCGTGATGGTGAAACGTTAGGATACAGTTCCAAAACCGAATGAAGATAGTAACATTGAAAATCTCGGCCGCGAAAGCCTTAACCAATTTACCAGTTTACTACTTGGAGTTAGTTGGATGCGATAGAGTCACTTATTTTTCTCCATACCCTCTGTAGCTCGGGAGAAATCAAAATCTCTTCTCGAGTTGGACAATCATACATACTTCTCGTTTGAAATGCGTGGCATTTCTGCCCAACCTTTTCTTATCCGGTCGCTGGTTATCTGTAAGGGATAGCATGGAAAGCATGTTGATTTAAATATATTGCCCTTTTATTTGAAAAAGGAAGTGAGTATAATAGCTCTTCTCTAGATTTTTTCACTCGAACACATGTAGATACTAGATGAAATCAAAATTTCGTTCATGATTCAAATGCAGTTAGAAAGGCACTTCAGGTGTGGGTTAATGGTTATCATATTATTGTAGAACGCCACTACTACCGTAACAATTTGGAATAAGAACGGTCCCAAACCATTTAGAGAAATCGTCCATTGCCACCACTAGGTATTTGTTGCTCTTGTCCATCACGAAAAAAGGTCATAAGTATATATATTCACCGGTACCATCTGGATAGGGATTTCATCAGACAGATACTGTACTATTTTCCCGATCTCTTTCTTGTTGGGTATTTCTAAGAAGCGCAAAGGTTATATCGCACCATTCTGTAACGACACGGCGACAAGAACCTTTCAATATTGTCTACCAAGGAGTTGTTCCAAAATATCTATCACGTTGCTCTTGAACCAATACTACAACATTATTGTTTTGTGATACAATTAGTCATCGTGTATACATATGGAATCTCATTGAACCGAGAGAATACGAGAGTTGGGTCACATTTTATCAATTGAGTTTTTCGTTCATATCTCTGCATACCGCAAATTTATTCTTTCGTATTCTATTACAGATGATTATTGCTCTTGTGTTTCAATTCAGTTCATTTTATGCATTGAGATATACGTATGTTATAAAATCCTGACGGTGTGAGCCATTCTAGAATTAAATAACACATCATTCTTCGAATGCATTATCGTCGCACTAACACTACGAGAGACTGAACTGAAGAAGTGAAACGGCGTCAATTTGCATGGTGGCTCCGATAGCGTAGTTAATGCGCCTATCTAGAGAATAGGAGAGCCGGGTTCGACTCCCACCTGGTCACATTTTTTTCAATATTGTATTTCTTTTATGTCTGCATACCGTATATTTGATATTCCGTATTATATTGCAAAAAATACTGTCTCTTGTATACTTGTTATCAATCAGGCCGTACACCATTGTTGAGCCACCTTCGAATGAAGTTCAGGATCATTAAATTATTTCTGGTTTCTTCTCATTTCGTCCACGGCATATTGATTGCTAATCTCATAGTGGGGGAGGTATAAGTGAAATTGATCTTGAATGATAGTTCACTTATTCTCCAACTTCTGGAAGTCCTTCAATTGCTGTTTGGATAATAGCGTCCTTGATAACGTATCCGACGTATCCAACCAGTGAAGTTTTTTTAGCCACCTTGCCATCTGTCCCTCTGGCTTTTGAAGTTCATTACCACTGAAAAGCGATATGGACAGAGAAACGTCGTCTCGAAATGTAGGTGTGAACTACAGTGATATCGCAGTCACGATATTTTCAAAATAATATTTTTCTTTCAGACATTTTAGTGAAAATAACGTCCGAGCCACAGACGAGACCTGGTACAAAAGGGCAGTAGATCAGCATTCAATTGAACCTGAAAGTTTCGTATTTTCTGTTCCGTTCGATATCGGTTCTTACGGGAAACCTCTCATAACAGCTACACATGCAGTTTTCGTCGAGCATAACGGCCATCGAGCTCCAGCGGCAGTGGTGGGATTGCAGTATCAACATTCCACCTTGGCTTCCCATTTTCTCAACATAACTTCGAAGGTTAGTACGAATCTGAAATATTTCATATTTGGAAAGTACTAGAAAATTTGTGAAAACAAAATTACATCTTTTACCCAATCACATCTCGTATCAAATTCAGTGATACAAGTCACCTTTTGAGTGACTTGTATCACTTGTATCATAAAAAGCAGTTCTTTCACAATATTCGCTTCGAGGAGCGGTACAATTTTGCATGCGTTCGAACCAATTCTCAAATGACTCTGAAGCTGATACCTCAAGAACATAGTTTTGAAGGCTTCATTAATTTTTGTAGGTGACAAAAATTGCTGTTCACGCATTTTTTGTTTCACGTATGGAATATTGAAAAATGCGGAGAATACGGGAAGTGAATGAATGAAATTCCACTAATGTGGCAAGCTTCACATTTAGTGTTTTGTTTATTTCAATTAAAAATCAATCATGATTGAAAAATACAGAGTCCAACAATACTTTTTCCGAACTCGCATGTATTTGGAAGGATATTATTTACGGAACAGTAACAAAAAACGTAGCTTATTGTACTAGTTGCCCGAAGGAAATCGCAGGCAACTAGCACATACATGTTTATTAACTTTAAGCGCTATTTTTCAATTTCAAAGCAATGTTAGTGACAAGTCCAGTGAAGCAAAAAACAAGCGTTCATTTGTTCAGAAGTGTTTTGTGAACGAACAACTTATGCCCTTCAAACAGTGGATTGGTGCTTAGTTGTGTTGTGTTATGTTTCTCTAAGACCCATGCTCATGAGATAATGAAATAGACACCCTACTCTGATATGACGTAAGGCGAGTAAGTTTATTCGGCATTGTCGAATGCACATTAAGTACTGGATTCACTTATAGGTCCATTTCAAATAGATTTAATAATTATTTTCCTTATTTTCGAATGATCGATGAAGTACTAGAGATATCAGGTATTTGTGAGTTGGGTTAGGCATTTTTTAGTCGAACTCGAGTGATTATAACCTGCTTCCTTCTTATCAGTGCTCCATAGTTCCATGATCCGACTTTGGGTTTCTATTCTTTCAGTTTGGAATATCTTGGAATATATTTCAAAGATGCTTCTGCAGCGACATACAAAAATCCTGCAGGAACTGGGAAAATATTTTGTAACGTGCCTTTCTAGTTACGGGTTTATGCAGTCACGATTTTTATGACAAGCATCTATCGGTTCACCACAGTGGAGACGGGGTGGGTTCAAAGTATGTTGATAGCAATATTTGGGCGCCAGGTAAATTTAATTGCCGATATAGAATGCCTGAGTATTAAACTATTCCCCCAATTTACCAAGTGGAATAAAAAAACAAATGACAACGTACCAGTACCAAACTTGTATTACAATATCTCTTATTATGGCTTTGTACAACGGTGTGACCGATT